AGGGGCTTGTACTTGTCCACAAGCATCCGCAACACAGCATCCTGCATACTCTCTTCTCCATCCCAGTTCTGATGCTTCGTTTCTAGAGCGTTCAACCTACTAGCTCGAGCAGCTTGCTCTGCCTCCTCGGCATCCTCGTTTGCGGCATCTTGGAAGAGCTTCGCACTCGCTCTGTGATCGGTGTGCGATGGATTTTCAGAATAACACCTTCTGCCAGTGACAAGAGTTCTAGGAAAATAAGAAAATTGGTTATGGCGGGTCAGCAGTCGCACGGTGCTCATGTGCTGAAGAACCGAAAGCAGACGAGGTGGTGGTAAAGGAGAAAGCCATGGGCGCTCCGCCACTTGCCTTTCATCTCTCGACCGTGTGTGGGGGACCATCCTTACGCTGTTCCTCTGTTTGCTGCATTCGCAAGTCGTCTGTCAAATCAGATTGGTGGTCTGGAGTGATAACTGCGGTGAACGATGTCTGTGCTTTTAGAGACATCGGTAGGCGACATTGTCATTGACTTGGAAGTAGAGGCTTGCCCGAAGACCTGCGAGAACTTCTTGAAGCTGTGCAAGGTATATTACTACAACTTGCATGCTTTCTTCAACAGTATGTGTTTTCCTCTATGAAAAGGGTGCTGCTAACCTTTGTGTAGTTTCAAAAGACTTTCTCGCGCAAGTCGGTGACCCGACAGCAACAGGGACAGGTGGCGAGTCGATATGGTCACACATAGCCTCCAACGGAGGACACAAAGCACCCCGTTACTTCACGCCCGAATTCATTCCCAGGCTCAAACATAAAGAGAAGGGCACAGTCTCTATGGCCGTCGCTCCAGCTCTTGAAGATGGTACCAAAGGCGGATGTGGAAGCCAATTTTTCATTACTTTGGCCGACAACATCGACTACTTGGACGGGAAACACGCTGTATTCGGGCATGTAGTGGAGGGGTTGGATACTTTGGACAAGTTGAACGAAGTATTTGTTGACCAGGATGGTCGGCCATTCAAGGATGTTAGAATTCGACATGTGGAGATTCTCGGTGCGTGTTCATATTGTGTGTGGAAGCACATTACTCAACATTATGTGGTTACAGACGACCCGTTCGCCGACCCTGAGGGTCTAGTAGTACCTGAAACTATACCAACCAAGCCACCAGACAACTCAACACGTATAGCTGAAGATGAAGACCCCCTTGCGACTCTACCAGAGGAAGAAGCTGAGCAAGAACGTCGCAAAAAGGCCGCTCAGGCATCCGCACTGACGCTTGAGATGGTTGGAGACTTGCCTTTTGCCAACGTACGGCCGCCGGAGAACGTATTATTTGTCTGCAAGCTGAATCCTGTCACGCGAGACGAAGATCTCGAACTCATATTCTCCCGTTTCGGCACTATTATGAGCTGCCAGGTAATTCGAGACAAGAAGACGGGAGATTCCTTACAGTACGCATTCATTGAGTTCGATAAGCATGAAGATGCAGAACAGGTACGTATCATAGTGATCGGTCAATTGAATCGTAACAGCTCATTTTGCATAAACTTAGGCGTATTTCAAGATGCAGAATGTGCTCGTCGACGATCGACGGATATGGGTCGACTTGTAAGTGGTTGTGTCTGCAGCTTTCGTTACGTAGACTGATACGTGTGGAACTAGCTCTCAATCCGTTGCTCGTCTGAATGGCAATAAATGGTCAAACGACATACACATGGGCCCTCGCGGGGGCAAGCGTAGCAGCGGCTTTGGCGGCCGTGAAGATCTCGTAGCTACGAAGCGGTACAGGGAAGGTGCGGCCGATCGTGGTGGTTACGATATGGTCTTCGACGTTCCATCCAACAAACATCATACACGGAGGAGTCGCAGTAGAAGTCCTCGTCGCGATCGTGAGCGGGACAGAGACCGAAGGAGGTCACCACCTCACCACCATGATGACCGGCATAGGAGAAGGAGTCGAAGCAGAGAGAGGTATAGGCGATGATAGTTTCGCCATTAGACTTCGACTACGCTTAAGATGCACTCCTCGCTCTTCGATATGCTTCCCTATAACTTGTACCATTAACTTTCTAATATAAGGGGCGTCTGTTGCGGTCTTTGATACAGTCTCTTCATGAACCAGACTCTAGGTACCAGCATGAGTCTCGTCAAAAGTAAGATTTTCTATACAAGTATCTAGCCGTTCAAAGTGGTACAGTAGATGGTAATCTCAACTTCATAAGTACCCGCTGTGGTCATACTTAGCCACTTCACGCACAGGACGCGTGCCCTGCTATCGCGCCTTAATGGGCGCCTATGAAATTTAAACTGTCTTTCTCAGCTTCATCCGATCCATTTACCACCACCTGAGCCACCCTCCTCCGGTATATCCGTCTCAAGACACAGGACATCGTATATAACTTTCTTTACGCCAATACCTTCATATTTAACATGGCCAACAAGAAAAGAAACCAGAAGAGGCAACAAGCTGCTGCCGCGACAGCAGCGAATGCTGCTCAGGCTACTGGTAATGGTACCGAAGCTGATGAGTCGTGAGTAATCGAGCAGAGAGCATAGAAATTCTGAGATACATCCGAGATCATAGACATGATGAGGAGATTCAAGTTGAATCCCAGGATACACCCAGCCCCGAATCCGAACCTACACCGGCTCCCGAACCTATCGACCCACTGAAAGAGGCTGAGAAAAAGAAGGAAGCGGGCAATGCAGCATTTCGAACGAAGAACTACCAGGAGGCAATTGAACGGTACACTGAGGCTATCGGTGCGTATATTAGTATACCTGCCTTAGGTCGCCACCCTCTTCAGCAGACGCTAAAGCCACTTTACATCTCATGCAGATTTCAACTCCAATGAGCCTACGTATCTTACGAATCGTGCGGCCGCGTACATGGCACTGAAGAAATTCAAGCCTGCACTGGCTGATTGTCAACAAGCAGCAAATCTACAGTCCGATGCTCCTTCTGTCAAGACCCTCACGCGACTGGCACGGTGTCAGCTTTCAACAGGATCGACAGCTCCTGCATTGTCTACGCTGCGATCGGCGCTTTCCATTGAACCCAAGAACGATGCTGCACTTCAATTGCAAAAGAAGGTCTTGGAGATTGAGGCACACTTGCGTAATTTCGAGGGAGCGAGGGGTAGGAAAGACTGGGGTCATGCGAGGTTGGCACTGGATAAGTGCGTGCAGGGGATCGAGGCTGAGGGTGGTGATATTCCGTTACAATGGAGATTGTGGCGGATAGACTTGGAATTGGCGAGGGCCAACTGGGACGCTGCAAGTATAGCTGCCAAGTAAGCAAGTTACTACCAAGTACCATGTATACTGATGAGTACTAACGTTGGACGCACCATAGCGATGCCATGCGGCTTGAGCCTAACTCTCCCGACGTCCTCACATCAAGAGGTCTCGTCATGTTCCTCACGGCGAAGACTGCACAAGCATTGAAACATGTTGTATCTGCTCTTCAACTTGATCCCGGACACGAACCGGCCATGCGGCTTCGAAAGCGAGTAAAGGACGTTGATCGCTTAAAGGATGAAGGGAACGTGGCCTTCAAGGCTGGGAAACTCCAAACTGCTAATGAGAAATATACCGAAGCGCTAGAGGTACGTGGTTCAGATCAGCAAGCTGCAATGCAGAGCCGCATACTCACGGAATCCTGTTTAGCGAATTGGCTGTGAAGAAACCGAAGGCAAGGGCGGTCATATACGTGCCATGCTGCTATCTAATCGTGCCACGACGCTATTGAAGGTTTGTTTACGAATACCGGAATATCCATATCATTCGCTCACGCTTAATTCTTGACTAGCTGGGACTTCATGATGATGCCCTAGTAGACGTAGAGGAATCCATCTCTCTCAACGACTTGTCCTTCAAGGTGTACCGAACGCGTGCACGAATATACCTTCACATGGAGAAATATGATGCAGCTATAGCAGATTTTAAGACTGCCATAGAACAGGCCGAGTCAGAAGGGAACGACGGTGACGTCAAGGCTCTCAAGGTGGACCTGAAGAAGGCAGAGGCTGACCTGAAGAGGAGCAAAACGAAGGACTACTACAAGATCCTTGGTATCTATCCCAGTTCTCTTGTGCGGGTGTGCAGGTTTCTGACGACTATTTCTCTTAGGCATCTCGAGAGAATGCACTGAAATCGAGATCAAAAAAGCTTACCGAAAAGAGTCTCTAAAGCATCACCCGGATAAGGCGAGTCTTCCATACAAATTATGCTTGTTGTCCGCCTAACATATTTTTTAGGGAGGCGATGAAGAGAAATTCAAACTTATTGTCGAAGCCCACGGCGTCCTCTCAGACCCGCAAAAGCGTCGCAGATACGACTTGGGTGAGGACGATGACGAAGGCCAAGGCATAGATCTCGCAGACTTGTTTGGGGGGCGCGGTGGTTTCCCGCCTGGGTTCGCATTCTCTGGTGGAGCTGGTGGTTTTGGGGGCTTTGGCGGAGGAGGATATGGCGGTGGAGGATTTGGTGGACACTCGCATGGCAGGCCTCAAGGGTTCCCATTCTGAGTTTTACAGTGATACTGTTCTATTTCGTTGCCGTACGACAGCCTTGGGCCGCTCCTGTATCTTTCTCCTTGTATTCCTTCCATATGTCTAATCATCACTTTGCATCTTCCGTTATTGCCCTGTCTTCTATTTCCCTCTTGCCGCCGCTGTACATGCCATTTGATGTATTCATGCTCAATCCAATTGTCGGATAACGCACTCACTTTTGTTACTTACTTGTTCTCTCGCTGGATTAAATTTATATGCTCATTATGCATACCTGATTGTACTTACTGGAAGTTGGCTTCGTGAATAAAATCGGTGGAGATAATAAACATAAAATTGAACTATATATTAGATTCCGGTGCTCTATACAGTACGTACAGAACTACACGGCGTGATCCCGTTACATAAACTTGCCAGCTTAAAAAAAGCAGCCGCTTGCTTTTTGTCGTAAATGAGAAGTAGTTCTGGAACGTATACGCACATGGGGTATCTAAAATGAATAAAGAAAAATGACTACCGCAGGTCTCGAACCTGCAACCTTCTGGTTGCTAATCACGCGATCAATTTCAGCGTCTAGGCCCTTGGCAATCGAAGCCAGATGCGCTACCATTGCGCCAGGCAGCCATGACTAAACTTAAATTTATTTTTATATATTGTTTTTTTTATATATTAGCGCTCATAACTGGCGATGCAATCCAAGCGCTTATTGTATATCGCGATCACATGATCGTGTGTCGCGCGTGTCCCGGCTCTTCATAAACACCACTTTCTGAGTCCTGACTCCCGCCTTTGAGGCAACCCACTGCTCTCCTGGTTACTCTCATACATCTTCGATTCTTTTGATCAGTGCAAGAACAGCCATGGCGACTGCATACTTACTCTCGCAGCATTCCTCAAACCCCCTCGAAGTCGCCGATTCGGATTACGGGAATAACACACTGGTTCGAACGTACAAACAAGCTATTGATGCACAGTCCCAGATCTCATCTGACAATGCTTTAAGTGGGGTAGCGGGTACAGAGGTCAACGAGTATCAGCAGCATATCCAAACGATAGTTGGTCCCCTACCGGTGAATGTACACAAGTCTGCGTCGCGTAGGCTTCCGCCAGGTCTTGTCGACTTGGACTCTGAAATGGATAGTGAAGAAGAAGAAGAGAATGATAACAAGATGGATGAAGATCAGGAGGAGCAGGGCTCTGGTGATGACGATGACGATGAAGAAGAGGAGGAAGAGGTCGAGGAGGACGTTGACATTTCCGAAGATGAAGAGCTGGGGCCAGACATTGACGTTGAGGAGGTGGAAGAGGAGAAGTCTATCCTTCTCAGACCGGCGGACGAACAAGCAGATATTCAGCTTGAGATCGAGGACCTCGAGAGAGCGGTACCGCAGCTCAACTCTGACTACGAGATCGTTGACCGACTGGGTACTGGAACCTTTTCCTCTGTGTACAAGGCCATTGATCTCGCGTACCATACAAAGTGGGACAACCACGCGTGGCTTGGGTCGCACCCCCCTTCGTCGTCTGCGTTCTATCAGACGAAGGAGAAGGAGAAGAGCAGAAAGGTATTCGTTGCGATCAAACGAATATACGTGACGAGTGGGCCAGAAAGGATACGAAACGAGATCTCAATCATGGAGGATTGTCGAAGTTGTCGGCACGTTTCCCAACTGATCACTGCTTTTAGAGAAAAGGACCAAGTTGTGGCTATCATGCCGTACCACAAAAACGATGACTTTAGGGTGGGCGCACATAATATATTCGTTCCACCAGTTTCTGATCGTGCGAGTGTCTGTCAGAGTTTCTATCGTTCGCTGCCTTTGGGGGGTGTCAAGTCTTACTTTAGGTGTATGTTTCGTGCTCTACGCGACATACATACACGGTCCATCATTCACCGTGACGTCAAGCCTGCCAACTTCCTATTCGACCCACGCACGGGTATTGGCACCTTGTGTGACTTTGGTCTAGCATGTGTGAGTCGGGTTCGACTTTTTGGTGGTAGCCAACATCATCCAACATATTAGTTATAGAGAATAGAAAAGGTACAGTCGCTGGGTGTATGCTTACATACATCCTCGAGTTCCGCGGATCCACATGGTCGTCTACGAACCGCAGACGATGTAAACATAACTTCAGATGAGATCAAGAAAGCTCAGCGAGAGGCTCGTTACAAGAGTAGCATGCCATCTGACAAAGTGGGATATCCTGAACATGACAAACGGTTAGTTATTGCACATTTGCCTGTAGTTTTAGTACTCACGTTTAGTGTAGACCTCCGAGTAAAGCGAACCGTGCGGGAACCAGAGGATTCAGAGCGCCGGAGGTGTTGTTAAAGTGCGGTTCCCAAAGTGGCGGTACGTTCCCCTTCTATTGTCGTCATTAGAACTGGGATGATGACATTTAATTAGCGGTCGATATGTGGTCTGCTGGGATTATACTCCTTTTTTTCCTAACGAAGAAGTTTCCTATCTTCCAGTCTAGCGATGATGTCGAGGCTTTGATGGAAATTGCTGCTGTTATTGGGAGGAGGAAAATGGAGAGGACGGCGACCTTACACAGTAAGCACACGCACTACTCTACGTATATCATTCCTAATCGTGGTCTCTTCTAGGCCGAACATTTGCCACCAACGTACCGTCGATTAATCCCGAAGGTATTAGATGGTCGATGCTGGTGGAACGTCTCAACCCAGATCTTCGTGTACCTCCAAAGCCAGACACGCGTTTTTACCCCTACACGTCCGAAACACCAGCTCAACGACGGCATCCCATACGCCCACCGCCCTCTTCTTCCTCGCCACCTACCTCTCGGTACTCATCCTCACGGTCGCCGACGCCCGAGCGGGGTGCCCATACTCCCTCAGAAGAAGCATACACCCGTGACATTGATAACGCCCTTGACCTCCTTGAGAAGCTCATGGAATCTGAGTCAATCAAGAGGATTACCCCTAGGAACGCGCTTGGTCATCCGTTCTTGAAGGAACCGGACGAACCAGATGATGATGAATTCGTCCCACATCGGTTTGGTGAAGGTGTCTGTGGGAAGTTGCATTTCCTCGATGAGGTAACAGACGAACCTTGCGTCAGAATTCGAAAGCCGAAGAAGACAGATAGTATGGATATAAAGACAGAGGGTAAAGACGAGATGATAGTAAAGAGACTTGCTGCGGGAGAAGGTATCGCCATTGGAAGAATGCCTTGCGAGTTTCATAGAGAAGAATTTGGCTATGAATTCTCCTGAGAGTCTTGGTGCCCGCATTGGCCTCATTTTGTTATACGTACTATATACAAACGTACACAACACGACACGGTACCAAGTTTCTGGTGTGAGGCCCATTTCCACCTGTTTTAGTGGTCAATAAGTATTTATATATTTATAGCTGCAGCTGGCCATGAGTAACTTGTCATTATTAATTGCTACACGCGCCGTGACCTCCGTGACGGATACGCGATGCCTGGCGCGTGTAACGCGTGTTCTGGCGGCAGGTCACGGTTCTCGAGGAGCGTAAGTCGTAAAGTCCAGTGCATATAACTTCGTTCTCCGTGACCACGATGTGCCCAACTCATCCTCACGATGTCTACTCTATCTGCACTTCGCAATGGGAACACTGCCATCGGTAGCGCGTTGTCCTATCGCCCCGTCGCAGTCTTCGTCGGTGGCACTGCCGGCATCGGTGCAGGCATGGCCAGAGCTTTTGCCTTGCACCGTAACGGCGACGCGCATATAGTCATCATAGGACGCAGCCGTCAGGCAGCGGAAGAGCTGATTGCGTCTTTCCCCAAGCCAGCCGAAGGGAGCTCCCAATATGAGTTCGTCGAGTGCGACGTTACCCTCATGCGCAACGTACGTCAGACGACAACAGAGCTCGTTAGCCGGCTCCCCAAGGTCAACTATCTTGTCTTGAGCCCTGGTATTATGACGACGAAGGGTCGAGATGAGACGGATGAAGGCATTGACAAGAAGCTTGCGCTTCATTACTACGCACGGTGGAGGTTTACATACGAGTATGTATCGCTTTGTACACTCAAATACATAAATTCTCACTTATCTTTGTGTCATAGTCTTGTTCCTTTACTGCAGAAAGCCGTTGACGCAAATGAAGATGCTAAAGTCATGACAGTTCTTAGTAGTATCGAGCAAACTGATCACGCCATCGACCTTAACGACCTCGGTTTGAAGAAGTACTCGTTAGGAGGCGCAGCCAAATATGCATCAGCGTGCAACAACGCTATGATTGAGGTGAGTAGCTGCTTTCGCGCTTTTACAGGGGCTTAACAACTACCATCATGTTAGTCCTTTGCGGAAAAGTACCCGAAGATGGCTTTCACACACATCTTCCCCGGCATTGTGCGCACACGACTGCTCAACGGCACCGACGATTGGAAGCTTCGTATGCTTTCCCCTCTTGCGCATCTCGCTGGATATTTCGCCGGCGTAAGCACTGAGACATGTGCGGAGTACATGTGGCACGGGCTGTACGCTGGGAAAGCCGGCTGGTTCCGCAGGGATAATTATGGCGTAGACCTCAAAGCAAAACCTGTATCAGCAGAGATTAGAAGCAAGGTATGGGATCATTCGCTGGAGGTTACAGAAGGCAATTGAGGGATGTTGTCGGGGGTATCAGAGGAGACTGCAAGAGTGGATTCGTTCCTGGCTGGCTCAGATCTCTGATAGAGAGCTGCCGGACTTTGCATCCGGAAATGCAATACATGAAACCAAACTGTTTTTCATGCAGATGTGAACGCGTAGATCTTAGGTTCACCGGTACGTGCAAAACCTTAAGCATTTAGGCGAAGGAGGTGTGAGAGTTATAGTGCATGTATGCATTTGAGACGCTGAAGACGATGGTGAGTGTCGAAGTTGTCTCATACCAAACAACCAGTGGCTACATTCTTATTTTGACGGTCGCAAGTCTTGGAAATCAGTGGGAAGGCTTGGATTTGACTACGACAATATGGTGCTACACCCAACCATATTCTCGGAAAAACATCTGTGATAATGGGAGCCAACAAGGGCGTCTCGTGCTTCAATCACGCTCAGGCTACAGTAAGTTTACAGTTTAGCATCTGCGTATGGCCTTCGCCGAGTATTGACCCCTTAGTTATTCTTAGCACCACCTATGATGACCTCGCCGTGCATCCGCAGAACTTGTCACACACTCCCTTACAAGCGAACTATTTTCGGCATCGGCAGGCATGAAAGGCAGCACTGTCTTTAAGAACTCTGGCCATCACATTCGAGGACGGTTGCGCCGCTTCTCTTTTTTCCGAGGACCGCACGACCAAGCCTCACAAGTGCTCCCTGGCCAGGATTATCGTTTTGTATTCTAGGACAGTAGACGTCGCTTGCACACAACGTCGGTACAAGGTCGTAGAATGTCCTCAAATTTGTCCGCTTCGACTCACGAGGCAAGGCGCACGGGACTGAGCTGACAGCGAAGATTTTGGACGAAACGGTCCAATATTTCAGGTATAAAAGCTAGAACCTATGCAGGCTGAACAGGCAGAGCTCAGCAGCTGTTCTCCTCTGCAAGGACACACCGGCTCTGTGAGTATGCAACCACTCTTAGAGTTTCGCTTTGGCTGACCTTTACAAGATCCTTCTGGTATCTCTCTCGTTCTCAG